CAGCCGGGTTGCGAGTCTGAATGTTGCACTCGCCCGAGCTGCTTTTGCTTTGCCAATGTTGCAAACAGCCGAATCCTGAATCTCAACATGCGTTACAAACAATCGATCTGCGAAATCCGATTGAGCAAGCAGCAAAACATTAAGAGGCCCAATTTTGCAAATAGAATGATTGTGAGACCCAATTTTGCAAACAGAAAAGTTGTGAGCGCCAACTCTGCAAACAGAAAAGTTGTGAGCGCCAATTCTGCAAACAGAAAAGATGTGAGGCAAAATTTTGCAAACAACAAGTTGTGAGCGCCAATTCTGCAAACAGGAAAGTTGTGAGGCCAAATTCTGCAAACAGAAAAGTTGTGAGCGCCAATTTTGCAAACAGCAAAGTTGTGAGCGCCAATTCTGCAAACAGAAAAGTTGTGAGCGACAATTTTGCTAACAGAAAAATTGCGAGGCGACAACTCACACTCCCAACTCCTGGTTCTTGTAAGTTACAAGGACAAGGAATTACTCCAACATCGACATCTCTTCTCATCAACTTTGCAAACGGCTGACTTGTCGACAACTCGTATATTCAACTTATGATTTCTAAACAAAGAAATTTACAAACAGTCTTCCTCAATTCCACCACATCTAAAGAGCAACGACATCGCTTCCGGCCAAGACTATGCTGCGCAATGCTGCGCTATGCTATGCTATGCTATGCTATGCTATGCTAGGTTACGCTCGGCTGCGCTATGCTATGCTAGGCAAGGCTATGAGATGCTATGCTGCACTGTGTTATGCTATGCTATGCTATGGTCCGCTATGCTATGCTATGCCATGCTATGCTGCGCTATGCTGTACTGTGCTAGGCTATGATATGATATGATATGATGCGCTGTGCTCTGCTATGCTATGATATGCTATACTATGCTATACTATGTTATGATATGATATGATATGATATGATGTGATGTGTTTTGCTATGATATGATGCGCTGCGTTATGCTAAGCAATACTATGCTATGATATGCTGCGCTATCTTATTGTATGATATGCTATGCTATGCTATGTTATGCGGAGCTATGCTATGCTATGCTATGATTGGCTCTGCTATGCTATGCTATGATATGCTGTGCTAATGCTGCGCTGCGCTATGCTGCGCTGCGCTATGCTAAGCTAAGGTGAGCTAAGCTATGCTAAGCTAAGCTAAACTAAGCTAAGCTAAACTAAGCTAAGCTACGCTAAGCTAAGCTAAGCTATAATGAGATCAGCTAAGCTAAGCTAAGCTTAGCTAAGCTAAGCTGGGTGAGCCCAAGGGGCGCAACTGGGAGAACCGCGGGGCGGATGCCGGGCGAACCGCCCGGGGCGACTTACACTGCCCGGCCCTTTAAGCATATAGAGTAAGAACCCTTCTAGGCAGAGCCCAGGTAGGGAACAAATGGTTTTGATAAGAATTCGCAAGAGCGCGAGCGCCAGCTGTTTTGAAAATTCGTGTTGCGAAATCGGTTTTGACATCGCTACGAAACCAGAAAGTTTCTGAACGATTTCGGCATGCGCGTGCGACGACGCGCGCGTGCGCACCTCGTCATATCTGTTGCAGTGGGTTGTTGAAACTGGTGATTTTTGAAAAACGAATGTGCGCGCATAGGATATGTTGCAGAAAATGGCGGGATGGTGCGAATTCGCATTTAGGATGGACGGTGGGGCAGAATCAGGTGTAAACTGCTCATCCCCAGGGGGTGCCGATAAGCCCGGCCTCGGGAAAGTAGTGGAGTCGATTCTCTGTTCAGAAAATAGAATCTATGCGACTGCGACGGCGGCGACGGGCGGCACCGCGGCGGCGACGGCGACGGCGACAGCGGCGAAGGGCGGCACCGCCCGTAGAAGTCGCCAGTCGCCCAGAGCGGCGGCGACGGCGACGGTGACGGCGACGGCGGCAACGGGCGGCACCGCCCGCAAAAGCCGCCATTCGCCCCGAGATGGTTAAGCCAAGTAAGAGCCTCAAACTGCAATTACTGTTTTGGTAACTAGAGAATAAATTTACATGTGTATATGTGCTAGCTAGCGCTGGCCACAAACAGTATGCTTCTGGCAACCTATGTTGTGCCACAAACGTTGTGCAATCCATGTGGTACAGTGGAAGGTTTGCACTGTATGAGGTGCACCCAATGTGGTGCATTCGATGTGGAGCAAATCACTTTGCAAAACTTGAAGATGTCAACCCCACTGCTCGCGCAATCATCCCACCCACCCATCCGCAACCTGGTTTGTAAAACCCGTACGGCGGTGATTGCGATGACTTGAAGGAACCACTTGGAAGGAAACCCTGCCATTCAGACGAAGACCTCTTGGAAGCAACGCTGTCAAGTGCGCTCCGCGCACCTCGCGACAACATCCGCGTCCAAGAAAGCCCACTATAAGATCAGACCTTCAGGTGCGGGCGAGCGTGCACTTCAGGCGGGCTACGCGAGGTATGATCGAACACGACACTTTTTGAGCTCGACGCCCTCACTCCACTGTGGAATCGCTCGAAGCTGTGAGATCCACCAGGACCTAAGAAGCGTACCGCGAGCGGGGCGATCCTGGCTAGATGGATAGAGGGCCATGGGCGGGCCCGAGAAAGATTAGTGCTCCGCTCCTTCCTCCCGCATGCCCGGCCGCTCTTCTGATGACGGCGCGTGGCAAGAAGTCTCGGTGAAGAGGCACGCCCTATGGCGTGGCAGCGGGGTGGGGGACACAGGGCGATAGCCGGCAGAAGAACTGCAGGCTACCTGACTGTGACACCCAACAGCTGCAGGTTGGGGGGCCCTCTGGCGCGCCCAATCCCCTAAACCGACAGGGCGCGAGGAGCCAACCTACGCCCACCGCGGCCAAACAGGCGAGTGGGCGGCGGATGGCGCCCCGAAGATCATACTAAAAGTGGCGGCGGGGAGGTGGAGGTGCCGAAACGCCTGCGGGTGCTATCACTCCGCACTAGAATCCGGGGCGTATTCATACACCTCCAAGTGGCGGCGAGAGTGCTCTTCAAACGGGCTAATTGAGTCAGGATCGAATTCGACCGTCGTGTACAACGACGACAAAGCTGCTGCTGGCGATGATGATGATGCTGATGATGATGATGATGATGGTGATGATGATGATGGTGCTGATGCTGATGCTGATGCTGATGATGGTGCTGATGATGATGATGATGGAAAAAAAACCCTCCGACGCCCTCTCTGCCAGAGTCAACAAGCCTGCTGGACGTGAAATCCTAGCAGGCGGAGACCTGGTTGGGGGTCACCAAGGACGTTTGATTCGTGCCCTACCCCAGCCCCCATCTCAGAAGGAAATCCATCCGCAGTCCAGACGAGGACCTCTTGGAAGCAACGCTGTCCACGACGCTCCCGAAGTCACGACTGGGCGTTTCGGAGCCCTGCCGGAAAGTCCTCCGCGAGCCGCGAGCCGCGAGCCTCACGCAACGCAGCAGCGGAGGAGAACGATTAGCAAGCAAGAAAACCGGACTGGGGCAATCCTAAACAGGGCGGGCATGGGAAAGCACGTCTACGGAAGCTGCACGAAATATCGTCTGCGGAACCTCGCGACGGAATCCCTTAAATAAAACTTGCTATAAAATCACACCTTCAAATGCCGGATCGAATTCGACCGTCGTGTACAACGACGACAAAGCTGCTGCTGGCGATGATGATGATGATGATGATGATGATGATGATGATGATGATGATGATGATGATGCTGATGATGATGATGATGGCGATGATGATGATGGTGATGATGATGCTGATGATGATGATGATGCTGATGATGCTGATGATGATGATAATGATGATGATGATGATGATGATGATGATGATGATGATGATGAAAAAAAGCCCCTCCGACGCCCTCTCTGCCAGAGTCAACACGCCTGCTGGACCCGGCCCTGACCGGGCGTCCCGGCCCGGACCCGGCCCGGACCCGGCCCGGACCTGGCCCGGACCCGAGGTTTGCTTTACCCGCCCGGGTCCTTGTCAACACCGCCCTCCTAATTTGGGTCCGCGCGTGGCGTCACTGCGCTGGGCCCCCCAGCAGGCCTCGAAAGTGGCGACAGTTTCACAGATCGCAGCCCCCCAGGGATGGCGAGGTCTAACTTGAATCCGCCCGTGGCGTCACTGTGCTGGGCCCCCCAGCAGGCCTCGAAAGTGCGACAGTTTCACAGATCGCAGCCCCCCAGGGATGGCGAGGTCTAATTTGGGTCCGCGCGTGGCGTCACTGTGCTGGGCCCCCCAGCAGGCCTCGAAAGTGGCGACAGTTTCACAGATCGCAGCCCCCCAGGGATGGCGAGGTCTAATTTGGGTCCGCGCGTGGCGTCACTGTGCTGGGCCCCCCAGCAGGCCTCGAAAGTGGCGACAGTTTCACAGATCGCAGCCCCCCAGGGATGGCGAGGTCTAATTTGTCCGCCGTGGCGTCACTGTGCTGGGCCCCCCAGCAGGCCTCGAAAGTGGCGACAGTTTCACAGATCGCAGCCCCCCAGGGATGGCGAGGTCTAATTTGGGTCCGCGCGTGGCGTCACTGTGCTGGGCCCCCCAGCAGGCCTCGAAAGTGGCGACAGTTTCACAGATCGCAGCCCCCCAGGGATGGCGAGGTCTAATTTGGGTCCGCCCGTGGCGTCACTGTGCTGGGCACCCCAGCAGGCCTCGAAAGTGGCGACAGTTTCACAGATCGCAGCCCCCCAGGGATGGCGAGGTCTAATTTGAATCCGCCCGTGGCGTCACTGTGCTGGGCCCCCCAGCAGGCCTCGAAAGTGGCGACAGTTTCACAGATCGCAGCCCCCCAGGGATGGCGAGGTCTAATTTGAATCTGCGCGTGGCCCTCACTGTGCTGGGCCCCCCAGCAGGCCTCGAAAATGGCGACAGTTTCACAGATCGCAGCCCCCCAGGGATGGCGAGGTCTAATTTGAATCTGCGCGTGGCCCTCACTGTGCTGGGCCCCCCAGCAGGCCTCGAAAATGGCGACAGTTTCACAGATCGCAGCCCCCCAGGGATGGCGAGGTCTAATTTGAATCTGCGCGTCGCCCTCACTGTGCTGAGCCCCCCAGCAGACCTCGAAAATGGCGACAGTTTCACAGATCGCAGCCCCCCGCAGGCAAGACAGGAAGAGGCAGGGAGGGAGGGAGGGAGGAGGAAGGAAGGAAGGAGTGGAGACCACACTGCTCTATTAAAAACCAATACCCAACCAAGGAGGGTTGGGAAAAAAGAGAAGCCTCAGCTGCTGGAGGCCAGGCGCCTTCCCCCCCTCGCCGACATCGACCTCATGGCGTGGCGGGGCAAGCCTGGCCGGGAGCCCCCTCTCCGGGGCGCGTGGGCCTGGCTGGCTCGCGGCCGAACCGGCTGGGTCCCGGAGAGCACGGGATCCTCTCACGCACGTCGAAGACGGACGGCCTGCTCGGGCGGGTGGCAGTGGGGAGTGAACTCCACGGGGTGACCTGCGTCCGCTCGCTGCTCGTCTTGCTTCTAAGACGAAACCAGGACGAAGATAAAATCGGATGAGGATACATCGAGAATCTCGGAGATCTGGCGGCTCTGGAGGATGTCTCGGGCGCCGCGGCCTTCTCAGAGCGTTCCGGAACGCTCTGAGAGCGTTCCGGAACGCTCTGGAACGGATTTGTCCTCGTCCTGGCCCCGTCCGACGATGGACCCGAACGGGGCCTTTCGGGGATCCTTTTGGGCCCCTGCAAGCTAGAGAGGCCCCTTTCTCCACCCCCCATGTAGGTCACCCCCCGTTACCACCCGCCCGACCTGCGGGAGATGCTCTGGCCAAGACTCGGCAGATCACCCTTGCGGTCCTCATCTCGTCGGCACGGATCGCCGCTGAGAGGATTGTGCCCAAGCACGATGCAGGGGGGCCGCTCAGCCTCACTGGCCATCTCACTGGTCCCGTGGAGCCCAAGGCAGTCCTTGGAAAGCATCGAGGACTCCTCGGAGAGGGCGCAGGTGGACTCGGTGACGCTCGACTGGTTGCCAACTGCCCCGCCGCTGGCCAGCTCCACTCCCGGCAACAACTCGGGCGCCGCGAAGGCACCAGCCACGAGCCGGCGTGACGCGGGGCTGCCCATGCGAGGCTCGGGGATCCGCATGTCCGGCCTCCTTTGGGCGTCGCGTAATGGGAAGGCGATGATAGGGGGGAAGAAAGGTGTACCCTGCGGGCTCTGAAAGCCCCCCCTCCAGTCCGAAAGGGCCTCCTATAGGGCCCTGCAGAAACCTTCTTCAAAGGCCCCTTTTCTGCAGCCCTCGCTGCCCCCCATTTACCGCCACCCCATGGCGCGGCGGCCAACTCTTGGAGGCCTGGAAATTGGCACCAACATCAGCACAGGGGGTTGCCTCCACATGGGGAAGATGACCCTAGATTTCGGTGTTGGTGGTAATGCTTCGGTCACCTTTCAAGCCAAACATTACCACCATCACCGAGATCAGGATCGTCTTCCCTCGGTGGAGGCACACCGCCGATCTTGGTGTTGGTGTCAACCTCTAGGCCTGCGAAGCTCCTCATATAGGGAAGGTCTTCGAGAGTCGCAGGTGCCGAACTCGGAGGAGGCTGGAGGGCACGGGGCCTGCGGATCTGCTCGGGGCCGAGGCCGCCAGGGCCAGGGCCCGACACGGCCCCGCCGCGGCCCACTCCGAAGGGGCGCCCGCGGGTCAGCCCGGGAGTTCAGGGCTGCCTCGGTGCGGGCGCCACGCCGGATGCCTCCGCCCATGCCAACGCTGGCCTCGGTCGCTGCTCGCTGACAAGAGGGAGACCGTCGCCCGCAAAACTCGGCATCCCTGCGGTGCCTGGAGTGGCCATGCTGCAGTGTTGCGCAGGGTGCTTCGCCCCAACTGGTCGCCGCTGGGCTGCCTCCGGATCGTAAAACAAATCTTGGCCCAAATGCCAAATGCTGAGCCAAAAACGGCTTGAGCCAAGTTTGGATACGGAGTGCAATCTTTTGAGCGGTGTTGGGAGGACGCTGGGGCCCCTGGAGATCTCCGAAGTATCATGGTGGACTATTGGTCCATCTTTGACACCTCGTGGAGTGCGTTGTGGCCCCTCTGACTATGGGGAGACGTGAGGGGGCACAGGCTCACGGGGGGAACCTCGATATGGAATTGGCGATACATCGTTCCTCATCCTCCTCCTCCTCCTCCTCCTCCTCCTCCGCCGCCTCCTCCTCCTCCTCCTCCTCCGCCTCCTCCTCCTCCTCCTCCTCCTCCTCCGCCTACTTCTCCTCCTCCTCCTCCTCCTCCTCCTCCTCCTCCTCCTTCTCGCCGACAGATCAGAGACCAGCCCCTGGTAGCGGACGGTCCCGAGCGGGGCGGGCCCTCGGGCCACTGTCGGCGATCCATTGGGCGATCGGGGGTCGATGCATCCCCCCCCTGGGCGTGTCCCCCCGACTGATGCCCCTGAAGGAGGAGGAGGAGGAGGAGGAGAAGAAGAAGGAGGAGGAGGGAGGAGGAGGAGGAGAAGGAGAAGGAGAACAAGGAGGATTCGGGAGGAGGATGCGGGAGGAGGAGGAGGAGGAGGGGGAGGAGGAGGAGGAGGAGGAGTGTTGCCCCTGAGGGAGGACCGAGGGGCGTCGTATTAGGCACCGCGTGCCATCACGAATGGAGCCTCCCACGGGAGGGGGCAGCTCCAAGGCGGACCCCAAGGAGGCCCCCTTTGGAGGCTCTCTGTTGGGCCCTTTTGAATCTCGCATGACTCTCATAAGCCCGAAGCCTTCCTTGGTTCTCTTGGCGCCCTGTTTGGCTATTTCGGGATGTCGCTGGGGCCCTCTCTTGGGCAGCCTTCGAGCACTCAGAAAGCCAGCCATCTGAGATCGTGTTGAGACGAATGTCCGAAGAAACTAAAATTAGGTCGGGCATGTCCTGCTACAGGCGGGTTTTCGTAGAAAAATCCGCCGACCCCTTGGGGTCATGAGTCACGGCGTGTGAGATGCTCGCCCCTCCCCAAACCCCTCCCCCGGGAGCCCGGTCTGGCCGGTTTGGAGGGGGGGGGCGGGCAAAGGTGCCGGCCGCAACCTTGGAGCCCCAGGGGGCCCCAAAACGGGCCAAGAGGGCCCAAAAAGGCTTCCCGGACGGTCCAAGAGAGCTACGAGTCGCCGAAAGATCCGCCCAAGACGCTCAAGATTGCCTCCGGACGGTCCGAAAGGCCCCGAAAACGCCCCAAGAAGCCACCAAGAGGCGTCCCAAGAGGCCCTCCAAAAGCAAAAACCGTCCCATTCCCGAAGGAACACATACATTTTTAGTACATTCGCCTCTTGGACTTTCACGAGGCCCACAACGGCCCAAGAAGATTTCAAGATCGACCCAAGACAGCCCAAGAGGACCCCGAGAAGGCTCCCAGACGGCCCAACAGGGCCCAACGACGGCCCCAGAAACCCCCAAAACGGCGCAGGAGGCCCCAGGACAGCCCCAGGATGAGGCCCAGAGGGGGAACCCCAATGGACATTTCGAGCACTCGGCCCCGAAAAAACCTGAGGAGGCGCCAAGTGGCCCCCTAGAGGCTCCCACGAGGCCCCCGAGAGGCCCAAAAGATACCCCCAGAGGTCTCAACACGTCTCCCAAGAGGCCTCAAAAGTGCTGCCATGAGAACCCTGGGAAGCCGAGCCGCGATCCGCCAACCGCCCCCGACAAAATCCCAAGAAGCTCAAACCCCAAGATTCCCCCAAAAACTGCGCGCGTTCCGCAAACTCCGCTTTTCAATCTTAATGCAGCCCCCAGGGATCGACGATGCGGAGTCAGCCAGTGAATACAACATTGTCAAACATACAAAAGGATATCCCCAAAAAGTGGCAAACACGTCCCCTGATTGTATCCCAACGACATTGTGGTACTGGGCCCTCGCTTTGAAGTGACAGCGCCATGCGCTCCTCTCCTCTCCTCTCCTCTCCTCTCCTCTCCTTTCCTCTCCTCTCCTCTCCTCTCCTCTCCTCTCCTCCTCCTCCCCCTCTTCCCTCTTCCCATCATCACCATCATCATAAACAGCAACATCATCATCACCATCGTCATCAACCTCATCACCATCATCAGCAACTTCAACAGCAGCATCAGCACCATCAGCAGCATCCTAATCATCAGCATCATCATCCGCATCATCAACAGCATCACCATCAGCATAATCGTCGCCATCGCCATCAGCACCAGCATCAGCATCAGCACCCGCAAAAGCAGCAGCAACCGCAGCATCATATGCATCCACATCACCATCAGCAGCAACATCATCAGCACCATCACCATGAGCATCAGCAGTCTCTTCATCATCAACGGTAGCGTCCCAGTGGCGCAGCCCGCATGCGTCTCCCACACCCAGTGCAGCCCTTCGTGGCCCCATAGGGAGTTCCACCTAAGGTCCCAGTGGCGCAGCCCGCATGCGTCTCCCACACCCAGTACAACTGTTGAAGTAGGAGGTCCTTGGCCCTCGCAAGCGCGCGAATGGCCAAAGGGGCCCCCTCCCGACGCGGTCAGAGGCCCCGTGTAATAGCCAAAACGGCGGCGGGGGAAAGGCAAGAGAGCATGCCAGCGCCGATCATCAACAACAACGCTTCGTGGCCCCGTAGGGAGCCTCACCGAAGGTCCCAGAAGCGAAGCCCACATGCGTCTCCCCCACCCAGTGCAACCTTTCGTGGCCCCATAGGGTGCTCCACCAAGGGTCCCAGTGGCGAAGCCCGCATGCATCTCCCACACCCAGTACAACTGTTGAAGTAGAGGTTCTTGTCCCTCGCAAGCGCGCGAATGGCCAAAGGGGCCCCTTCCCGACGCGACCAGAAGCCCCGTGGAATAGCCAAAACGGCGGCGGCGGCGGAGGCAGCAGAGCATGCCAGCGCCTATCATCAACACTGGCTATGACCTTTCCTCTGCCTCGAACCCCGCCCGCCCACTCCCAGATCTCTGTGACCCCGGCGCTGCGTGGCGGCTCCTACATGCGAGAACTGCGAAAATCATGGATTCGCGAGGCTTCTGCTCGCACGACCAAGTCACCGGCCGCTCACGTGGATTCGCGAGGCCATTGCTCACGCGACTGGGGCCGCCAGCCGGCAATTGGGAGCGCACTTTCGGGGCCCGCCTGTTCTTCGCCCGCCGCTCAGACAGGACTCCGCGCAGGCTTCTTCATCATCGTGTGCCCGCTCTGCATCGCCATCGTGCTGGATGGCGACGTCGCGGGGACTCCGTTCCTCGGCGCGCCGCGCCATCGCCCTGGCTACCTTCGCCCAGGCGTCTATGTCACGCTCCGCGGGGAACCCTGCACCTGCGAACGGACTAGAAATCGCGGCTACACAGATCGCCGCCACGCAAGTTGCGGCCGCTCACCGGCGCTCCGCACTGCGAAGCGTCACCGACGCTCTGCGCGGCACCGCCGCGCGTCTGGTGCCCTGACTTCCAGGCGCAGCTCACGCATGGCACGGCCGCTCACTGGCTCTTCGCACTGCGAAGCGTCACCGACGCGCTGCAAGGCACCGCCATGTGTCTGCTGCCCTCGCTTCCAGGCGCAGCCGCGTCACCGACGCGAATGGGCCTAAGTCACCGACGCTCCGCACGGCGCTGCTATGGGCTTGCTGCCCTGACTTCCAGGCGCCGCAGTCCGTAGACGCGTGGATCAAACCAGCTGCACTGAAGCTCCGCTATCAATGCTGAAGTAGAAGTTCTTGCCCCTCGCAAGCGCGCGATTGGCCAAAGGGGCCCCTCCCCGACGCGGTCAGAGGCCCCTGCAGTAGCCAAAACGGCGGCGGGGGAAAGGCAGGAGAGCATGCCAGCGCCGATCATCAACAACAACGCTTCGTCGCCCCGCAGGGAGCCTCACCGAACGTTCCGGAAGCGAAGCCCACATGCGTCTCCCCCATGCAGTACAGCGCTTCGTGGCCCCATGGGAGCTCCACAAAAGGCCCCGGTGGCGCAGCCCGCATGCGATCCCCACCCAGTACAGCGCGTCGTGGCCCCACACGGAGCTCCACCGAAAGCCCCAGAAGCGCAGCCCGCATGCGTCTCCCACACCGAGCACAGCGCGTCGTGGCCCCATAGGGAGCTCCAACGAAGGCCCCAATGGCGCAGCCCGCGTGCGCCTCCCCCACCCGCACAGCGCTTCGTGGCCATAAAAAGCTCGACCGAGGGTCCCAGTGTCGCAGCCCGAATGCGCCTCTCCTACCCAATACAATGTTTCGTGGCCCCATAGGAAGCTCCACCGAAGGTCCCAGTTGCGCAGCCCGCACGCGCCTCCCTAACCCAGTACTGCGTTTCGTGGCCCCACAGGGAGCTCCACCAAAGGTCCCAGTGGCGCAGCCCGCATGCGTCTCCCCCACCCAGCACAACGTTTCTCGTGGCTCCACACGGAGCTCCACCGAAGGTCCCAGCATCGCAGCCCGCATGCGTCTCCCACACCGAGTGCAGCGCGTCGTGGCCCCATAGGGATCTCCACCGAGGGTCTCAGGGCGGGCGACACAGGCGTAGTTCGCCGTCTGAGCCTTGCCCGGCATTGATGGAAAAGCAAGGAGCTCCTCCCTTTTACCAACCTGCATAGCATCGGTGAATGGGTTGTAGCACGGCCGGCACGCCGGCCCCTTCTCCCGGCGAGCGTTGTGACCCGCATCTCGCCCGCGAAGGGGCATGCGAGGAATGCCGCGACGCCTGGTCGCGGCCGCGCAGTCAAACGCCGTGCGATCCCAATCACTGTCACCATCGTTGCTCGAGTCCTGTCCATAGGACGACTCCGATTCTTCATCTGGCGTGCACGTTTATGTGCACCATTCTTGGAAGTCTTTCAACGCATCCTCATCCACCTGGCCTTTCCCTTGCGAGGCAGCCGCTGCCATAATGTAGGTCATAGCCCTTAAGAAGTATGTATTCCGGCCTGGGTCCTCCAAGCCATAGAAACCCTTCTTCTCGGCCTTGTATTCTCCAATGAGTCTCTTCCCTTCAGATCCACTCGTCTTGAACCGTCGGTCAGGGTGGACGCCCGGATTAGTAGACTCCTTATGTGTGCGCCGGAGGACAG